TGCGCCAGCGCCGCCTCGCTCTTCTCCAGCACAATTTACTTTCCAGGCGGAAAGTGTCCCTCTTTGAATAACTCTTTTAGCTTTAAAAAAAACCAAAAACCCACCAAAACGCCTCATTCTGTAAACTTAGTATTACGTTTTCCTTTGCAAAATGAATGCCAGCAGCTAAATGATCTAGACCTTAATGGGGAAGATGGGGAGAGGCGATGTTAAATGCTTGCTTGAGTGTAGTGCAGTGGGGAGTCTAAACTAACGTGAATGTAAAATATACAGCATTCTCTTGAGGCAGTGATTTGAAAAGGCCGAACAAGTGCAAAAAACCAACAAATAGGTCAGCTAGCAGAGAGCTTGTGAGAAAAATGATTTGTTAAAGTGCAGAAATACCAAATCAGAAGCAAACTGTTCTGTAACAGCTGGTTATTTTTGCATGCTGGTTATTTTGCGTGCTATCTAAGCCAAGACAGCCTTTAAGAAGTGATTGAGTTCCAGGTTGCACAGTATTAAATGCCAAGTTTCAAAACAAGTCAGTGCAAGATTAAATCTCAGGCATCTAGTAGAGCCATAAACTTATGGGTTGTTACACACAAAAACCCCTTATAATACTGGTCCCTCACTTCATAAACAGCGATACAACTTTCTTTGCACAACTAATGGGCAGCAGAAGTGATGTTTGCGTGTGGAGTGGTGGCTGTACTTGTGAACCTGTTGGTGTTCTTGTCAGGTAATCTCTACAGCAGGCACATCCAGATAGATGGAGAGATGTTGGCTATTCAAGTGCAAGATACTCCAGGCGTTCAGGTGAGCTAGATGCAGCTGTGCAGTTTGCCAAAGCAGCTCTAAATGTGTCTGCGCATGTGTGCCTCTGTGTGCAGCATCTTCTTATGGTCCATTTCAGAGCTTGGTGTTCTGTGTGGATGGCTGGTGACTTCTGTTATAACCAGTGAAGCCAGATGTGTTGCGTGCCTGTAGTATGCTGGTAGCAAAAGAAAAAAACCTCACTGTTTTAGTGAATCATTTGTATATTGGAGGCCCATTACTTTTGAGTGGCTGAATTACTTAAGTGTCTTGTTCCTTTATACTGGGAACACCAGGCACAAACCCAGAAACAATTCTGGGCAAATAAGGTACATGTGGAAGAAAATGTCATGACCAGTGCCCAACAAGCTTCAACAAATGTGTATGATAAAAAGTGAAGTCTGCTATAGTGTGGCTGTGCTCATTAGTGTGTCACAAGTTAAAGTTTTGAATGTATAGACCTGAGTAATGCTGGATTGTTGCCTTTTTGAACTGGGCAATGCTCCAGGTCCAAATGCTTCCAGCTCATATCTTTGCTTCCCCAGACTTACTGTCTAGCCAGTTAATTTCCCATTCTGTGGAACTACAAAGTCTTTCTCTGCATGCAGAACTACTCAGGTCAATTTTCCATTGGAGTAGAGCAAGCTCCAGTGTTCAATTCCACCTTTTTGCAGCTGAATCAACATCTGAATTTATTTACCATGCTCAGATTAAGTTTGTACTTACAATGTGTAACGCAAATATCTACGTCTGAAGCTGTAAAATGCTGTTTGGCTTTACAGACTCTTAAAGGCAGGTTCCTTTAATCTTTTATGACTTCAGCTGTCTAATGTGAGACCATTCATCTTTCAGATCCACGAACACAGTCTGGATTGTAATGAGCAGCTGAACAGATGCATTCGCTGGGCAGATGCCCTGGTGATTGTCTTCTCCATCACAGATTATAAGAGCTATGAACTACTCAGTCACCTTTACCATCATGTCCGACAGTTGCATCCAGGAAATGCAGTCCCTGTTGTCATCGTAGCAAACAAAGCTGATCTCTTGCATATCAAAGAGGTGGAGCCTCAGCATGGACTTCAGCTGGCCAACATGCTGGGCTGTACTTTCTATGAAGTATCTGTCAGTGAAAACTATAACGATGTCTTCAATGCCTTCCATCTCCTCTGTAAAGAAGTCAGTAAACAGCAAACAACCAGCACCCCTGAGAGGAGGAGAACCTCTCTTATTCCACGGCCGAAATCGCCCAACATGCAGGATCTGAAGAGAAGGTTTAAGCAAGCTTTGTCTGCCAAAGTGAGGACTGTCACTTCTGTTTGACAGCAGAGCCGTCCCAATGTTTAGCCTGAGGTTGAAACCTGGGGTGTTTAACACTGGCACATCTAGAGTCTGAGGCATTGTGAAAGAAGGATGGTTCAGGTAGCATTTTGCATGGCTGTAGAAACAAGCAGTTGCTTAAAAAAGGAAAAGAAAACAAAAACCAAAACAAGCCAAAAACTCTTGAAATGGTTCTAGGATGTGACTTGTACAACAAGGATTTTCATTTGGAAAAGGAACTTTCCAGTAAATGAAACAAGCCTTCAGTTTGCCTTTTCTCCAATGGGACAGATTTGACTAACACTTTTGCAGAAACAACCTTTTAGCTGTAACTCTTAACTTCTCATACTTGAGCAGGGAAACACCTTGAACTATTCTGAACTTCACTGTTCAGAGCTAACCACTTGAGTCTTATTTTCACTTGGATGAAGGACAGCATGATCTATCTGTTTAATTTTATTGCACAGTAGAACTGTTGATTTCCTATGTATTTCAAAATGAGTAAGTGAACATGAAACTGTTTTGTAAAAATAAGTGTAAAGTAAGTGGACATGACTGAGCATCAAGACTGTAAACAATGGTCCTTTATTTTTTTTACTGCTATGTTATTGCAACAACTTGACCAGATTCTTTGTATGCGAAACTAGTGTCTGCAGGGTGTAAGCATATCTAATTACAAATAACTTGTGGGTTTTTTACTGTCTGAAAAAAATACAGTCCAGACTAAATGATCCAACATGGAGCTTTTGAGGAATGAGCCTGGAGTTGGAGTGATAGTCCATTAGAGCTGTTGGTCTAAGACACTTCTCTGTGCATAGGTGCAGAAAGCATGTGGCTGCGATTCAGCTTGGCGTGAAGCACGGCTGGCTCCAGGCGATGAAGCTGCTGGTTTGTTCTGAGCTGAGCCAGTCCCACTTCATCCTTAAACGCAGGTGGCAGGTTTATAATGTATATAACTTTTTTTTTTACATTGAGCTAATGGAGTTCACAGGCTAAAGGCCTTATACACATGCACTTTAAAAAGCCAGTTGTGCTTTTGTTTAAACTGTAACTTATTTATTTTGTGTACAGTTACTCCTTGTAGGGAGTGGACTCTTCATTCTTACTGCCTGGATCAACATTAAATTTTTGAGTTGCATGTTTTCTTGTGTGTTCTTTGTGGGTGAGCAACAATGGCAATAACTAGTGAATGTTGAGACAAAGTAGTAGTTTTCTCAAGGTAGTTAACATACATTACAGAAACAGTCAGAGGGCCTTTCCTGCCTATACTGTTGCTTTATTAGCATAAACCACAGGGGGGGAGCTCTCACAACTGCTTTACAACTTCCTTTTAAGAAATTCCTTTAAGGGAGAAACTGAATAAGGTGGGGACCTTTCAAATTAAAATAGGATTCTTCATTTCCCCTTGTCAAAAAAAACTCCACTGAGAAAGGAATGGTGTGAGGTAGGTCAAAATCTGTAACACTGAGTCTTTTAAGTGACTGCGACTTTCTTCCTTAAAAAAAAAAAAAAAAGCTTTATGTATTGAGCTGTATCACAATGAAGAACTCTATCAAATTAGAAGTTTTAACTATTTTATTCATATTTAAAGTAGCTTTATTGGGAGCCCTCCTGAGGAGGATGTTTGTGCTGGGACTTTGGTGACTGCTGTGCAGGTTCACCTGCTCAGCCTGTGTCCTGGTTCTGGCAAAGATAGAGTTAATTTCACAAGGAGCCAGGACAGGTGAGTGGAGCTGGTCGGGGGTTATTCCATACGATGTGATGTCATGCTCACCATAAAGCGGGGCTAGTCAGGCAGGGGCAGGCTCGGCGTGGCTCCGGGAAGGGCTGAGTGTCCGGTCGGTCAGTCAGTCTCGGTCAGTCGTCGGATCGGTAAATTGGTAAATCGTTCTCTGTTATCACCCATTGTTAGTATCTGTTATCAGCACTGTTGTTGATGGTTTTCCTTCTCCCTTGCTGTCCCAGTAACCTGCCCTTATCCCAGCCCTTGAGGCTTTGCCGTTGTTTTTCCGTTCTCTTCCCCATCCTGCTGGTGCACATGGTGCTCAGCTGCCGGCTGGGCCTAAACCACATCAGTCTGCAGCTGTAATATTGGGGGTAGGGAAACCATGACACGGTCCTGATGATGGTGATCTTTTTGACCATGAGCTACTAGCCAAGTGACTTAGGACTTGCAAACAAAACAACTTACTACAAAATACTGCTGAGCTTATTAATGTAGTAGTAAAGCCATTTGCCAAGTGTTTTCTCTTCTTCCTCCTCCTCACTTTTGAATATGGCTTAGTGCCACATGCAGAGGGCTTAGACACTCCTTGCTGTGACGCTGCACCTGCCCAAGCAAAGTCTCTTCTGTGCTGTTCCTGCTCACGTGCAACTGGCAGCAAATCTCTCATCCCCCTGCCCTCTTCCCTGAGCACAGGCTATGTGTAGCTACTACAGCTATTTCCTACAAATAAGGAGGTAACTATTACACTAGGGCCACTGGAAAGATTCCACTCCAGTCTGGGTCTAGAAGAAGAGCAGGCTTTTGTGACCATCTTCTTTGATCTGTCCAGCTACTTGAGTACAAGATGGTGGCTGAGTCCCAGCATCCACTACCACAGCTGTGGCCCCACTGGCTGGAAAGATTCCTCCAAAGTGTGTGTGTGGGTCTGCAAATCTAGTCTCTGCCTCGGAGGAGCAACCTGACCCATAGGAAATGCAAGAGCACCAGGGTCTGCTTAGACTCACCCCCTGCTTCTCACTATCCTATATACAGTATGTCCTTAGATGGCCAAGGCAGAGGCCTGAGAGCATCTGATGAAAGACAGGTGAGGGAGAGAAGACCACAACTGCCAGCCTCCATCATCTCAGGAAAGTGACAGCATCTCAGAGGCGTGAGTACCTGAACTCACTGGCCAGCAATGGCCACTGGATGCAGGAGAGCCTTTCTGCTACCTGCAGTGTGGAACCCCTCTAGGACACCTCCCAGGACAGCAGGACTAGGTTCTTAGGGGCGATCAAATAACGTAAAAGAAAAATGGGTTGCAGGAATACACAGTCCTGGCATGTGTAGCCCTGTGCACTAGGAAGGAAGGAGAAGAGGGATGAGGTTTGACATTGTAAGAGCATTGCTTTATTGATTACAGAATTTACAAAACATCTATATTCTAAGATTAAACAGTACAGAAGGACAGAAGAGAAACCAAGAGACCATTTGCTTTCCAGTTGCTCTGTTCAAACTATTTCTTGAGTTTTTAACATTGCAATCCCATACTATTTCTCATTTTCTATAGCACAAAGTTCCATTATTCATTCTTATAGATCTGTCTTCCACAGAGGCAACACTGTCCAGCCTTTATAATCGGTTCATTGTTTACTTCTAGCCACTCAAAAGTTAATTTAAATCAAAATGCACCCTTTTCTGAAGACCATTATAAACATTTAAGAGAATCTACGCTAGCTAGTGAGCAAAGGTTAAAAATCTACTTCCCATTTAGTCTATTCCTTTGGCATAATAAAGCAAACTATGACAGAGTGAACGTTACTTATAATGTCACATTCTCAGTGTAAGCTGTAGTCTTAGCATCCCTTGGATGAAGTAAGAGGACGCAGCTCTGGAGCTCCACCATTTTACGTTGCTATTCAGAAGTCTTGGTGCTATACGCAATCACAATCTCTATTGGCTGCTGCTTTTTTTTTTCCACAGATTGTATCAAAGTTTTATAAGGAAAAATTACATAACTGAATTTGATAGCAGCTCTTTCATGATCATAAATTAAAAATAAAAGCTGTTTGCTAATCATGCTGTTTAGAAATCTAGCTCAAGAAAGAATCTGTCACTGTGGCCTCTTGAAAATGGGATCATGCTTCCCCCCCCCTCTTTTTCTTTTTTAAATACATGTGAGGGGAGGATTCTTCCAGGGTTATCATCAAACCATCATAGCCCATATGTCCTCCTGCGTAAACCTACAGAGAAGTGTGCCATCAGAAACAGTCTTTTCTCCTGGGACCGTGGGTGGAGAAACTAGAGCAGGAAATGGGAAGCTGAGAGAGAAGCAACCACATTAACCCAGCCCTTGAGTCTGGCGCTCTGCTTCTCTGCCTCTGTCAGTCCCGCCGGGAGAGCATCACTGGACTGGGAGCTGCTCTGCCGGCTAAATCAGCACCATGCTCCGTGGCCTCTCTGGGGTGAGGGACAAATAAAAGCAGAGGCTGTTAATGCTGTATAAGGCACACGTGGTTTGCAAGGTAACATGACAGAGAGGGTGGATTTGGGTACTTTCCCCGCCCTCAGTAGCATTTCCCAACAGAAGCAACCCCAGCAAAACCATCAGGATGGATCAGAGAGAAAAGTACTGTTAAAAGAGTGCAAATTCAGCATCACCTGGTCCTCAGTTGCTCCTTTTCTAGGGAATTATTAAGAGCGATCATCCTCTGGGGGTGATTCAGCACTGCACGGTGTTCCTGTTGAGGGGGGAGCTGTTGCTGGACAACTGGGCTGTTTTGAAGAGCTGCTCGTGAGCTGCCCGTGTTCCCCTGCAGCCAGATACCCAGCTGCTTCACCCTGTTTCAGCTGGAGCCATAACTGCAGCAGGGGACATGTCATTTTTTTGGAAGGCTACTGGGAAGACTAACAGACCAGGGATGTAATGTTTCCAGCTGAGGCACTCACTCATCTCCACAGATCCTCCCCGTCAGATATCGGCGTGAGACTGGAGACGGTCTGTGGCAAACAACAACTCTATAGCACTACATGGTGTCAGGAGGGCGGAGGAGAGCACCATTACCTGAAACAAGGGGGACAAGAAATGAGTCAAAATTAAGAGAACCATCGCTAATGAGCCATGACTATGAACTGTTTGCTTCACCCAGCACTAGACAGTCTGTGTGTTTCTGGTGTTTACTGACAGGGCAATACAACTTGCCCAGTGAAGCTGTCTGCTCGCTAATAACTAGTTAAATCACTTTAAGGAGCATAATGACTGGTAGCATTGTATTCTTAATGAATGTGTGCTTTGACTCATTTCTACCCACATCTTACCCGGTGATTTGTTGTGACTGCCATTGTGTTTACTGCGAGGCACCAGCCGATGAAGCAGGGGTTTCCTCTCCTATAGCTCAGTTTTGAGTGACGGCCGGTCCCTTGCGGTGGAAGGTAAGGCGAGCACCGCAGAAGTGCTGCTGGCCTGCTGCGGGAGGTTACAGCCCCTGTTCAGAAACGTCTCTTTAGACCAGGCACAGCCTGTTCTGCACATCAGGACCAAGGCTCAACCTTGAGCACTGTCGGGATGCTATCGCTTACTTTTGGTCAAGTTTTTAATCCAAGACAAGTCTGATGAATGAAACCGTCACTCACTACAACCATGACACACACCTTGTTAGAACAGGTATCTGTTTTTCTAAGTGAAAAACCAGTATGCAGGTACCTAGCGTGAAGGCTTCTCTGCAGGGCAAAGCTGTCAGCAAGGAGTGAGCGTGCATGCTTTTGCTGCATGGAGCTAACTCAGGGTTGAAGTCATCGGACACTGCTCTTACAAAGGCCCAAGTTCAGTAGTGTCCGTAGGGTCAGGGCTGCAGGCAGGGACGTGGGGGCAGATTTATCTTACTAGCTTACTTGAAGCCCACTTGAACATGAACTTGCTTCTTCAGTGCAAAGCCGGGGAGAGGAAGCACAAGCATCAACAACGGAGTATGTTTCCTGGAGTAGCAATCAAACCGCTTGTGCTCTTCATCGCATGGCTTAAATGTGCAGTAGTGCTGCATTTCAACTTCTTGGTTTTTGTTCTTTCTTTCTTTCTTTCTTTCTTTCTTTCTTTCTTTCTTTCTTTCTTTCTTTCATCTTTTCACTCCAAATAATGAAAGGCATCTGGAGTTAAGTTACTACAGATCCCTTCTGTGCTGATGATAGTCTCCCCCTCACTTCTCCCCTTCCCTTGTCCTCCCACACAATCCACAGCAAACTGACACTGATTATCTCTTCTCCTTCCTATGGAGGAAAAAATCCCTGTAATTTGCAGATGCCAAAGGCTGACACTGTCTTACGTGAGAATCAGACTATAGCACAGTATGTGCTCGTCTTGTTATCGCGCAGCGTAATTCTGAAAAACGTGAGGGGACACGTTACCAAAGTTTTTTGGGTGTATAAGCCAAACATCAACAATAGCCACTGCCAGATAAAAGCAATTTCTTCTTGGAGTCCCACCACTGAACCCTGAGGGGATTTGTGCAACTAATAGCAAGTCCAGAGAGAAAAATCTGCAACTTTAACTTCTGAGAAAGGATGCAGTGAAATACAGTGGGACTTGCCTCCTTTCCCCCCAATATCTCTGAGGGCTCATTGAGGAGGATAAATGTGAATACTTGTTCCTTCATTTTTACAGAGAAGGGGGGGAATTAACCAGATAAGTAATGCCCATCTCTTCTCCAGGCATGTCTCTTCAGGACAGTGTATCATCTCCTTTGCAGACCTTCTCCTTGTTCAGCACAGCACGCCTGTCTTTGATGTTTCACCTGAAGGGCTACCCCTCCTGATGGCAGCTGAGGAGCCCGGAGTTCCCATCCTGACCAACCGCGCTGCAATGGGCAGTTCCCCCTCAGCAGAGCGCAGGGTAGGATGCAGCTAACATCTGATGATGCATCTGGAGGGGTTTATCTGTCTGCGTGCCTCAGCCACAACCACACAGACTGGGAGGAGGGAGGGTGAAACACCCACTCATGCACTTTCCCCTTTTTTACTCTCCTGATAAAGCAGGGAAAAAAAAAAATTCTTCCTTTGAAAATAGGATACTTCTCACTAGGTTAGAGGAGCTATTCACCATCCAAAACCAAATGATGCATAGGAAACGCTGTATTCCTTTGTGCTCCTCCATGAGAAATAAATTTGTCATTCACGTTCAGATGCAGAGCAGTTCTGTGGATGGAAACATGCGTCTCCTACTCCACATTTAAATGTCATTTGCCTCAACTCCAAACATCTGCTGAAGTAATCAGTGTGTCCTGTCAGTTTTTCTGTTACTTTCCTCAATTCTTTATTTTTGCACCCACACGTCTCTCCATTTCTCCAAGAGCCAATAATTAGTATAAATGTCAGTGCTTTGTTTGACTGGAAGGGACTCGGGAGGCCAGTGTTACCCTGATGCCTGAACCTGATTGCCTGAACACCACAAAAAAGCTCTGTTAAATGCTGGCTCGAGTTAGACAAATGCCTGGCTTTTTGAAAAGAGAATAATCCCAAACAGGTGGCACATATTCACAGCTATAGTGCAGAAATCCAGGTAAATCCACAACCTCATAAACTTTTTTTATATGAGAGACTTGCACAACTGCTTCTTTTCTTCTTTCTCTTCCTCCTCCTGCCTCTCCCCCAAAGTCCTTTCACCTCTAACACAGCACATTTGGACAAAGGGCAAGATGCAGTAAAAGCTTAAAATTCTTTAGGAATCTGCCTCAGAGGGTGACCTGCCGCCGGGGTTAAGCCAAAGCAAAGCAACACCAGATCTCATGTCACCGCTGTCAAGCCTCAAGTCCCTCTAGAAAGCCAGTCAAAAGTCTCCCTGCATAGTTCTCAACCAACTCACATGTTAACCCTCTGCTTATCTTTCAGGGTGTATTAATACATTTTGGGTGCGGATTAACTTGTCCATCAGTGTGTCACAACTCAATCCCCCTTCAAGATGGGAAAGAATTTTATTCGCTGTTTTGAGGAAATTAGCAATAGGCTAACTGGGGAGAAATTGTTGTTGTCAGATCAGAAAAACATCGCTAACAATGGCACTCCGTCTTGCAAAGTACTGCGTGAGACCACCTTGCAAAGACAACTAAAACGTGGAAAACACATGTCAAACCCAGGGGCTGCTCAGCCTTTGGTTGGCTCCATTTTGCTAACGATGTCTCACTAATCAAAACTGCATTCCGTAGTTGTATGTGTTTACAAGATGTTTACAAGCCACACTGGAAACTAGGCTTATGTTTATGATGCAGCTGGTTACGCAGCACTTCTTCCATCTCTCCCTGCAGGGTTTAGATTGGCCTGTATATCTGCACTACTCAGCAGGTACCTGATCGCTCATCCGCGGTTAATAACGATTTTTAACATCTCAGATGACACCAGGGCACGTCCATCCTCCTCCTCTCCTTCCCCACTCCATTCAGATGACAGCTGCTATAATCAAGTTCTGCTATCAGAGAGTGGACAAGGCAAAGACCAGCCACACGGATGCTATTGAAGCTTCTCCGTGGAAGCCATTCTCCATCCAACAGCACATCCAAGGGCCACAGAGACTTGGGGCTTTCTCCACATCACCTGCTTTAGGCTACTTAAGGCATCTAGCAGTCAGTTATCTATCAATCAGAGATACCTGGCCTGGCCCAGAAACAGTACAGCTGTATCCAGGCTGTTTCATCTTGCTCCTCAGCAATGCCAATTGACTTGTCTGGAGGATCACCATTGATATGTCACTAGGTGGTACCCAGACCCTTGGCAGGTTCCTTCTGAGCATCCCAGTACTATGCCCTGTAGATGCACTGCCAGGGAGCCTGCAGCCTTCTGGACTGCAAATATTTCTGTTTATAAAGAATACCAATAAATTAACCTTTTGAGACACAATGAAAGCTTCATCAGAATAATGCCAGTCTGTTCTGAAGTCCCCAGCCTGAGTCTGAACTTTTATTGCTGACTCTTAACATGCCAAAACCAGACCCTTGGTGCCTGAATGCTTGTTGCCTACAGATGTTTCACAGCAAAGTCCTAACACCATTCCTGTCCATGTGGCTCTGTCTTCGTGTAGGTTTGGTACCAGTGCTATAGCCAACATTGTCTGATGAATTTTCTTAGTCTTTGTTCAGATGTGAACTGTACATTTAGAGCTGTTTTTACCTGGGTACCAGGTTTGCGTGTTGCTACCAGATCCTTCACCATTTTGACCTCGGAGACTGTCACTCCACCAACCATAAATATAATCAGAAGAGGATGATCACCAGGATGAGGGCGATTCACCTGTAAAATGAAGGAAAGCATTATCTGGAGTTGCTCAGTCCAGCTCCAAACCTATGGACTGGCAGTGATCGGCTCCCTGAGCTGCTGGAGGAGGACTAATAAGGAAGCTTAGAAAGAAATATTCATAGAACGCTGGTTTACGTAGCAGCTGAAAGTGAAATCAATGGAGATGATGCCCAGTTAAAACTAATGAATTGTTTCCAGGGAAATGGAGTCTTCATGGCTTCCATTGAGACCTAGTGGAGTTTCTCATGAGGTCTGAGGTCTTCTCCCTCCATTCCTTCATTTCTTTCCTCCCTTTCCCAGAGTGGGAGGAAAGTACTTGGGTGGATGCACAGTTTGGACAGACGTATGCATGGGGCTTTAGGGAACGAGGGGTAAATTACTACCCAGCAGAAGCAAGGAGTCCAGCCTAAACATGCTAGAATCCCTGCCTGAGGTCAGCCATGGAAAGAATCGTTAAGTAATGTGTTTTCACCAGTCCAGCGAATAATCCTTTACAATTCATCCAATGAAAATAAATCAGGTTCATTACAGTATAAAATCAGTTTCTAGCTTGCTTCACTTCAGAGTTTTCAATACTTCTACAACTGGGTTGTAACTAATATAGAGAAACTTTAGCTCAAGCAAAATACTTGTTTCATTTTTCCCCAATTATCATTAAAATGGCACAGACATTCCACTTCAGTTAAGACTTTATAAAACCGCATTTTAATTTTAAACGTGAAGGTGATGCTTTACATCAGTTTCCTCTTAACCACTGCTAGAAATTTGATTACTTTGCTGTTTCCTAGTGAACTCTTTCTTTCTTGATAAAACACACTCCTCTGACAATGCCTTGCTCTGGTCTTTGGGAGTGATGTCAATGGAGCCCGTGCAATCGCTCTTGTCACACCACCTTTGAGTATGAAACACTCCAAATGTTTGGCTCTGAAAAGTGACAGTGAGAACAGTTTGATTTGCTCCTTTTTAGACTCTCCACCCCCTCTCCTTCCACAAGCGTAGGTTTTCGACACCGTTCGCTCGACAGAATGAATGTGGTCATCAACCCGTGCTTGGGCGGAGCGCAGTTCCTTTGCTTTCACCACCACTGCAGCTATCTTTGATCCCTGTGGCTCTATCTCCTCAGGGTACAGCTCTTCTCTTCCTTATTGTGGCTGCCCTATATTTAGTCTTTGGGCAGTTTTTCACCCTGCAGCTCCATCAGGCTTTCTGACTGGCAGCCTTCAGAAGAGACTCTTCCCTTTGAAGCAAGCATGGGGGGGGATGGCGTGCTCTCTCTCCAGGCTAGCTGCCCTTCGACTACACAGGGCTCCCTGTTCAGTGGCGCTCCCCAGGCAGGGAGCTCTTCAACTCCCTGGGAGTTTGAAACCAGCACAAAAAGCCTTAGACAGATCTATTAGTGAGCTGAGTGTTTATGTACAGGGTGTTTATTCCCGTAACTGCCCCCACTTTGCCAGCCATCTTCATTGAGCTGATGGCACAGATAGCATATACTACAATTCAGCAGGGTGTCCTGCAGTTCTGGTGCAATATTGAGCAATTTTTCACTCATGCCAACAGACCAAATAAATGGATATATCAGAGTTTACACAGACTTTCTTTATGCACTTTCCCACATCACACTGCTCACTTCTTACTATCTGCATATAACATAGTGCCAATCTCAAATGAAAAAAAGTCCATTCCTATTACAAACATCATGAGGAGTTTAAGTAAGACCTAAATATTTCTTGACAAAGCAGGTCAGATAGAGCTATTACTTGCTAAAATGTTAGAGTATTTAATGACATAATTGCTGTAAGCAGTGACACAAGGTTAAAGAAATAGCTGCTCACAAAGATGGTGAAGATAAAAGTTGACGAAACACTCCGCTACAGCATTTCAAGGTAATACAGGAATTACTGTTTTATTCCTTTTCATGGATCTTTGCTCTTCTTAACCCTGTCGCCACTCCGCCGTATCATGAAGCTTCTGAATGATCCAAGATGTACGCAAAGAGCTCGAACTTCAGAAGCTTGCTATTGAATAAAGCCTCTATTTCCTAATATCTTTCCTGGTGACAACAAACTCATCATAAACATGCACGCATAACATTGGACACACTGAAAGGACACCCAGTATAAGAGCATTAACCAGAAAACACAAGCTTTCATGGCAATACTAAAGAGAAAATGTCTTGACAAATCATTTCCTTCAGTCAAAATAAACCTAGATCCAAACACATGGTGCCTATATAAAACTTATTATTTTTCAGAAGACTAAAGTTCAAACCACAAATTCCAGAAATGCATATTAAAAATACCATTAGGCATGCAAACTCTAAATTAAATTAAAATTGCACTGAAAAGGGTCTTGGAATCTGTAATTTTGTTATGCTATGCACAAGTGTTTTGAAGGAGGACAATACTTTTGGTACAAAATATTTGGCTCTGTTAAGAATGCAAGTTTCTGCCAAGATTTTTTTGTTTGATAATACAACCACCCAAGGCTCTGTCTTTTGAAGGAACTGGCTGTATGTAGCTAAACACAGCTCATTTCTGTGGTACAGAAGAACTGAAATGGACTGCAACAAAAGCAACGTGTATCTTCTGGGATCCTTCTAAAGTTTAGTTGTTTTGGGACATTTCTGAGGCCTCCGAATTGTGTTTACTGTGAAATCTGAATTTTGCAAAAATCCTCAAGTGAAATTCACTTTCAGTTCACAATGCCATGCATTAAAAAAACTGGGATGGTTATCTTGGGCAATTAGAAAGACTAGTCAACAAAAAAGCAAAACCATTACATGGAGTGAAGATGCGTGAAGGAAGAAAGAAGAATGGTTCCCTGAGCTAGCACAGCATCTCAGCTGGACATCACCCTTCTCTCCAGCTCTGAGCCCACCGCGACCGCATTTCCTCAGGATGCTGGTGGTTAGAGGGCTCTTTGCTGGTACATGTGTCTGCGTGGAGGAAAGGGAGAGGAGGAGGTGGGAAAGTAGGGTGATAGCGGTCAATAAAACTCTAAAACTGAAGCAGGAAGGGGTTGAAGGACAGGTTTGTTCTCATGGCAGCTCATAAAACACAGCCTTTTCCTCTGAGGAAAGTCAGCAGAAACAACTTCTGCCCTGCAAGGGCTATCTCTGCCAACCAGGACACCAGCACCAATACACCTGGTATTTATGACCAACCAGGAACCGATTCATTTAGATGAACAACTGAAAAATTGATCACCAGAAACTAGACTGCCATGCAAACCACTTGGTATCAATGATACCAAGCTCAGATCCTCACGAACCATGTGTGCTCTAGAACAGCAGTCAAAACAGGAATCCTTGTGCAGGGAGGCCTTTTCCCTTCACCCTCCCTAAGCTTCAAAACAAACACATCCATCAAAGAAACAACTTGTGGATGAGACGTATCTTTAAAAGTCTGTTCTGGATGAACATGTCTGAGTCCATCACTTACCAAAGCATGTTTATGTGAGTTGGCATTTATATTCAGGCATTGAGGAAGAAATAAAAATGTAAGGAAGCTAATGAAATAATTACAGTGCTGAAGGTGGAGAAGATCCTCTTGTGTAAGAAATACAGGCTGGTCAGAAACTCATTCATGTAATAAGCAAGCACTTGCTAACGAGCCAGGCTACAAACTAAATGAGCAAGCGTGGACACATTTGTGAGGTATGTGATGATGCCTATGAAATATTCATCCTATGCAAGGTTCACTTGCTCATCTGTTATATATTCCTTACAGTAGGATATTTTTCTTACTAGCAGAGATGCAGGTGCTTACAGGTACATACTGCAGTAATATACTTCATACTCATGCATAATAGTCTTGAATGGAGAACTCAGGATATGCAGGAAGACAGAGCTGAATGTACAGCACGCTAGCTACTCCACACTTCACCTGTGTAGACATTTAATGAACACTTAGCATAGGCTAATTTGTAAAGCAGAGTAAGCTCTTGTAGAAAGACTGTCTTAAAACATGCTAAGAGCATCCACAAGGCAATTTCTGACTAACAGGCTTCCTTCGTCCCCACTGGAAGTTGAACCTGATGAAGTTACAGAAAAGGCACTGAATATGGAGCTCCTCTGACAACCTTCCTTCCCTGTGAGACCTCACTGTTCATACTTAGTTCTCTCCTATCTCAAGGCTGCTCGGTGTCCTTAAAATCCTTTGATGAGGTGCCTTGCAGAATGCCTTTTGGAAATCCAGGTAGGTTATATGAATTTGCACTTGCTTATCAATTGACTTGTTGTGTGTCTCTGAAGAGCTCCAAAAGCTCTGTGAGGTAAGACTTCCCTTTAGCAAAGCCACATTGCCTCCTCCCAGACATATCCTTGTTTAGGTGTCCAGCATCACCCTTATTTAGGTGTCCAGTCTGCTCCATTCCTCTTGTTTTGTTCAGCAGATGCTACCCACCTGTGTACTGTACCTGCTATGTGGTGCCTCAAGCTATTCCCAGCCCCCCTGCAAGGATTTACCTCTCCTAACCACCCCTGAAGTTCTGCTGAACGATATCAACTCACATACATAAAATCAACTACTGCCATATGATGCTAGACCTCAGGAAAATATTACAGATGAGTTTGGGAAGCCTGGTTTACCTTCATGAACATGCTGAATCCAGTTTTAAGGAGATCGGTGAGGCCTGATGACATGTGCTCAATATCAACAGGATCAGGTCGATCAGCATTACAGATCTCTTCCACCACCTGTTTCAGCAGCGGTTTGTAAGAAGCCTGCACAAAAAGAACAACACATTGTGGGTAAAGCTGTTTAGATTTGCTGTAATGTTCTTCTAGACATTTTATTTCCATTAAAGGTAACAAAAATAATTATCCTAGAAAGGAAAACATTCAGAGAGTTAAAAAATTATCGAAGCATCTTTGTGACCTTGACCGCAAATGGCACAAACAGCATCAAACTGGAAAGCCAGGAAGACAGCCACACATTTATTCTGGCCCATGTGTATTATATGAGTAAAGCGAGGCAAGGAAGAAAGGTGGCTTCTAGTTCCTCTGGAATCTTTTTGGAGGTGGTACAGGAAGGGATAGCAATAGGGATGACACTCTGCTGCCCATCGTGTACCCAGAAGATCTCATTCCCTTTGTAATGATTTTCAAACACTTAAATGAAGGGCTGGAGCACCTCTCCTATGAGGACAGGCTGAGAGAGTTGGGACTGTTCAGCCTGGAGAAGAGAAGGCTCTGGGGAGATCTAATTGTGGCCTTCCAGTACCTGAAGGGGCCTACAGGAAAGGTGGTGAGGGACTGTTTATCAGGGAGTGTAGTGACAGGACAAGGGGGAATGGGTTTAAGCTGAAGGAGGGTCGATTTAGATTAGATGTTAGAAAGAAATTCTTTACTGTGAGGGTGGTGAGGTACTGGAACAGGTTGCCCAAAGAGGTTGTGGATGCCCCCTCCCTGGAAGTGTTTAAGGCCAGGTTGGATGAGGCTTTGGGCAAAGTGGTCTAGTGGAGGGTGTCCCTGCCCACACCAGGGGGGTTGGAACTAGATGATCTTTGAGGTCCCTTCCAACCCAAACCATTCTACGATTCTATGATTCTATGAAATAGGGATTTTTAGGAAGGCTTGCTTACTGACCACTCCTGCCTTCCCACGGGTGTCATGTCAGCACTGAAGCCTGGATATCAGCAGGGCTGGGAAGAGGCCAACCTGCCTGTTTGTCCCTCATGGGAGAGCAGAGCTAAGGAGTCCCTTTTAGTCCATCAGCTTCCATGGCCAGGGCACTCTACATAATACTTCCTCCTGTGGAAAACCTTGAGGAAAATAAGTCAAACAACCCCACCGATATCCTGCATATCAGAGCTTCAGAGAAGTTTGGGTCCAGGAAAAGTGGAACATGTAAAGGTACAAATGGTCAGTATTCTGGAAGATCCACTTCCAATGGATCCACCTTGCATCCTCTTCAGGATCCTGTGCTGAACAGGAATTAGTAGCCTAGAAATTTCCACATTCCCATACTGAGGTTTAAACCACTCTGCCATCCTGAAAAAGTTTCTAAGAGAAAAAGTTTAGAGACTTGTGGAAAGATGCTTTTTAATGAAAAGTCGACCGTACTTGGTTTACACATGGAGTTTTGTTTTGCTGCTTTCAACTTTGCCCAAATTGCAATGGAATCACAATCATGTCAGGAAGCACAATGGTCTTAGAAAATTAGCAGCTTTCAAATTAGCACATTTGTTTTCCTTTGAGACCAGCTCAGGTATACATCATCCCTTAGATTTCTTACAGGAATTGAATGTAACATCATTGATTTTGTAAAGATGATATCTACAAGAGACCTCATTGAAGACAAACATAAAAACGGATGGAAAATAAAAAGCAAGCTGCTTGGCTTGAAACTAAAATTTTCTGGAGTAATTAAAGAAATGGTTTTCATCCAACTCTTTACACTGAGAAACAAAACTTACAGTTTTTAAGTACAATCCTGTCAACAAAGATTTATACAACTCGTCTAGTTCTTCTCACAACACGTGCATAATTTTTAATTGAGCCAACAAAGCAAATTACAGCAGACATGAACTGCAGGATCTTTTAGGAGAACATGCCAAGATTTGTGTCAAATCTAGTCATGCAATAAACAACTGTTTGAAAATACACATGCAGGCTTGAAGTCCTATGTATAAAAATCTGTTTAATATCTTCATAGATGAGGAACAGAAAGACATTAGGAATGAAGTATTTTTGGAGTAGAGATCAAATCACAGTTAAGCAGAGAGGCTTACTGCATGAAATTAAAGGAAAAATATTATCTGACTTCAGACAAAACTATGTACTCAAAAGATGTTAAAAATGTGCTATGATTTTGCACGTCTGAATTTTCAGCACCAAAACTCAGTGCCCTTCAAAATGATCCAGTTCGGCTACATAGATACTAAAAGGCAGATACTATGATCACTTACCTTTTTTTAGCTATGATAGTTTCAAATATTTTCAAAATCTTTTATGACTTGAAATTCACCTATTAAACTTTTAGGGAGGTTTTACTTTATTTTTTAACACAATCCCCAATAGCTGCATTGATTTCTAACTCATATAATGAAACTTCTATCAAGTTTTTAAATTTTGATGGGGCACAAATTGTGTTTAAAACAGTTGTTAAAAACCTTGACAGCTATGGGACATACCTCAGACATGACTATAAGGAGAAAAGGAGAGAGAAAAAGAGAGAGAAAGAGAGAACGAGAAAAGGAGAGGAAGGGATGGAAGGAGGGAGAAAGGGATGGAGGAAGGGAAGGAGGGAGGGCGGAATATACTCGAGATCTAGATGAAAGGAAAAGAACAGCAGTTACAAATCAGGAAAATGAATACTCTCCTCTTGCATGGCCCCTGCATGAACTGGTTTGATAACCTGATGAAAACATCCATCATTTTATGTAAGACACATAAACTTCAATGCTACAACAAGTGCTTCTAAGAGGCTATCCAATTCCCACTTACTTATCGATAGAAATCTTTTTTTGAGTCTCAACAAGAAATGGAGGCTTCCCAGCTCCTAACAGATAAAGCGGAAAAACACCTATAGGCTAAACCCATTCCCATAGCACTAAGCCGGGCAGGAATCCATACGGCCATGGGAAGAGCATTACTTCTCCACAGGAGCTGAACTGATTGCACACAACCCATGTATTGACAGCTGCCAGTCAAAAGAGAGGTCCATTTGTAGAGAGCTGTATGTATGATGGAAAAAACCATATTGCCTGCTTATTTCTGCTACTCTAAACCTCCTGAACTGCCCTCAGCAGAAGGTCGGTCCTATTCAAGCTATTAAATCCATCGCATGGCCAGATTAGGGGGCTGCAAGGTGTTAATACATCCCCTGCTGCGTTCCAACACTTAGCCCTAAGCAAACAACCTGGGTTACATCCAAAGAACATACTGATGCTAATTACACTTCCAGGAAACTTTTAGAGGGTATTTTCTTATCATCTGACTGACTCCCCACTGAACTGTATTAAATGTTTAACAATTTTCCCCATTTCAGACACCAGACTGGTCCTAAGTGCCAGGAGACTTCAGTAACAGGTTTTTTCCACCTTAGATTTCCAGCAACATTTTGCAACACTCCTGATTCCTGTTGTTACAAAGCATTGCTTAATTTGAACTACATCCCTTTGCTGGTCCACAGCATACCTGTGAGTTTGGAAGGATTTTTTTCTGGCTCAAGGCTGTAATCAAAGTTTTACAGTCTCTCTCTAAATCACTGTATGTGCTTTCCATTGTAAAACTCTGTTTTTAACTGAAAAAACCCCCACACTTCGGGGGAGACAGAGAGAGAGAGAAAAACCACTGTATATTAGTCCTGATGACCTATAGTAATGTCATATTTCATGTGTTCATAGTACAGAAACAAAAGCTGCATTATTCAACTATTTACAAATGGGCCTGCCTCTCACACTTGCAGAGATGGGAGAGAAAATACACAGAAATATAGTTGCTGTATGGATGCAGGCATCCTGCTTTGCTATGCCATGAGTGGTCTCAGTCCAGCACCATCTCGACCCAGCCCTGCCTGTCATGGTGCTGCAGAGCAAATCCCAAATTTCTTCCTCAGACAGTTCTTTGTTTACATTGATATGGATATGCCTGAGTTTAGATGAAGAACTTGAGGAAGTTCTTGATGATTAGGTCAATTATAAGATCTGTACTTAAATATCTTCCACATGGGCAAAACATATATAGGATTAGCACGTCAGCAAAATTAGTGCTGTAATTTTGACAGCATGCTAGAGAAATAACATACGCAGGGAAAAGAAAGATCCACTTGCCTGGTGGGTGTTGTTGCCTGGATTATGTATGGAATTAAACTGTTTCATATGCATTCGAGCTCTTGCAATATCCCTGAGGGACCGAAAGATATCGTCCACCGCATCTGTCGCTTTCTGAGATGTCAGGTTCAGTGACGAGTCACAGCCTAAAGAAATAAAGAAACGTGGAACTGAGCTAGTGAAAAACTTTCAAGTGTTTTGATAATAAGCAGTAGGAAAAGGATAACTGAGAGGCAATTTTAAATTATTTTCATCATGTTATATTCTAGAAACTCAAGGGCTTGTTAGGCAGCGTGTTCTCAGCATGGCATAAGACTCTGCAGCTAAGCAAGAAGGCATAAATCCTAGACAGCAAGCAAAGTGAACAGCACCTCTCTGACCACATTTGTAAAATCATACAGCAACTTCAGCAGCGCAGGGTATGTTTTGGTCTCCACAGCAAACAGAAGATCCCATGCTAGCAGGCCCTGAAGAAGAGCCCCATGTGGAACGGAGCCAGCTGGTTTGCTGGTCTCCTTGGGGCGTAACAGCCATGAAGCAGGTAATTGCTCCTCAGGCATCGTACCCAGGCACTGGCTGGCAGCCTGCTGACTCCAAATGCATTTCCTACCTTTGCAACAAGGAAAATGGGCTGTGCTAAATACAGAGGAAATGATATCTACGCACTGCTAAGAGCTGTATTGCCATAAAAAAGTCCTTATCCCTCAAAGTGGCACAGTTACTACTTTTAATGTATTTTCCCAAAGCACTTCTGCTAAGATATGATGGTTATCTTCCACCGAGGCCAAACTCCATTTAAAGGACCACGTAAAAGGTCCCTCCGGGTGGCCAGGCAGTGCCTCAACAAAGAGAAATTCTTAACCTGGTCTCCATACCCCTCACCACAGGACCTATGTTGCACAGAGGTGTAGAATAAATTCTCAGCTGACCGGCTGATGAGAATTATCCAAGTGAGAGATAACTGGGTCACCTGGTATTTGTATTGCCCTGTCAACACAGCTCTACACCTTTTGACATCTCTGCCCACCTCTCTTCTCGCTTGACTCTTTGTCGCTGTGGTGGAAGATCCAGTACAAAATAACCCTTCTTGCCACATGCACACACAAACACACACTCACTCCTGCTTATCTCCCGTGTCTTCTCAGGGGGATGCCGCTGTAGCGGTTTGTGTGTCCAGCCCCCAATCCTGCAATCAGTCCTGCACCGGCAAACCTCTATGTCTGCGTAGAATCCTGCAGAGAGGATGGGGCCTCCCCACAGGTCCCAGCACCCGCCGTGATGGTGTCTGGATTTTTTGGGGGGGATTTTTTCTGAACAAACTTTCCTCTACAACTGACAGAAGATGGAGTTCTCATGCACCAAAGGAACATCAGAACAGGCAGTATAAATTTTCAAAATTCACAGAGAAGTCCTAATGGTTAGCTAATCTGGATCACTCATTCACATCTTTGCATTCTGTACAGCAGAATAGATATATATAATATATACACATACACACACACTCATAGAGGTCTGAAGCTATTCCTACAATATAGTAATTAGACACTGAGCTGTCATTTGTCTGAGTATTATTTGTTGAAATGCTCCAAGTCAGATGCCCAGCTGGTGCAGCAGAACAGAAAAAATGACTGTACAGGGCTACATCGGACCAAGCTGCTGAGGACTGATGCCATTATATCCCACAAAGCAACAAAGCGGACACGAGCTGGGTTTTGGTGACTCCCATGTTGTAATTCTAAGACAGCCACTCATATATTTTTGGACAGGGCTCTGGAAGTTATTAATTTATTTTTTTAAAGGAGTGCAAAATAACTTAGATAAATATTTTTGTTGTTATGCATGTACAAGATCTGCGTGCTCTGATACTCTGACTGACCGAAGTTTTTCATTTGGCAGAGGAGCCTGTGTCTTGTCAGTGAAAGCCTTGAACACGAACCCCACTCTGCAGTTCATTATCCCGCTCCACTGGTGCTCTTGAAATCAGAGAGATGGCTCCTGCGAGTGATCTTGTGCTGGTTTATGTGCAGGGGAATGGTGTCCAACAGCTGAAAAAAGTGAAACTGAACACCTCCTGGGCAGATGAGGTCGATAAATAGAATCTGCGGTGACAAATCCTGGTTTATACTTATCACTAGCACAGGCAAAATAGTCAGAGGAGATCTTGTATTGTCAGTGTGCATTTACCCTGCCCATGGGAAAACATAGGAATGAGAAAATGAGGCAGTCCCTGTAGCTCCCAACTCAGAGGCTGTGCGTATTTAACAGTAAACATTTATAAAATATTTTGCAAAGGAAAAATAAAATGAAGAGCCAGATCTCATTATTTTCTTCTCTCTGAGAAACAAGCTTTCTCTGTTTTAGCCACATGAGAGAGAAGTAGCTCCTAGCTAATGTAAGTAGTTAAATTTTATTTGTCCTCTCTTCAATTCTTTCTCAGCAAAAGCCACTGCTTTTAGCCAAGCCACCTCTGCAATGTTTCCTTTCACTAGCAAACACAAGTCCCAAGAGTTGAACAAGTTCAGGCAAGGTAAAAATCACATCAAGTTTGATTTGCTTTGGACACTCTTCTTTTTTTCTTAATTGTTTATTTTCTTGGACCATTCAAAAGTCTTTTGTTTTGGCCCTACAGTTATTTTTCGCATGAAAAGAAATATTTGTTTTCTTCTCCCATTGGCATCACTTCTCTCTCACTCTCTTTTTATTTTAACAAGATTCTTTTGACCAAGAAGTTGCAAACCAGCTTCTCACTGCCCACTTCCGCAACTGCAGGGCAGCTTCCAGTGGACATGGTCTGGCTTCGTGGCTGGAAGCCCCCAAGATGCTCCTCACCTTGCCTGGCCCGGTGCATCCCACTTTTTGCTTTTTCTTACCGAGTCAATCTTCTCTTGAGCAATTTCTTGGCGAAGCGCAGCCTCTCATCACTCACCACTCGAACCTCATTGCCAGGGAAATGCTGTCTGGAGCTCGGGCTTTGCTTTACAGCTTGTGCTGACACACTCGTGGGCTGGAGGAGGCCACGAAATCATTCACCCTCACCATCTGTTTAACAGGCCATATCGCTTCATCAGCATCGCCCCAACCAAAACAAGAGCCCTTGCGTGCCGTGCAGTGTGCCAGCAGCTCCTCACGCTCCATGTTCAGCCGTGCCTCCCCCCAGACCGGAGTTTATATCTCAAGGAGCACTGGCTCAATGTGTGCTTCCAGTCTCCATGCTGGAGCACGGTGCTGGACCCAGTTTGGAGCAGGGGGGCACTGGGAGTTGAAGCTCCAGTCCGGTGCTAGTTGAAGGCTGACCAGATGGAGGGAGAAGAGGTGTACTTTCAAAGGTTTCTCTAAAATGTGGCTTCCTTGGGACTTCCAGTCAAGAAAAATCATGTGTCTGGGGAAGTCGTGGCTCTCTTTTTCCAGACTGACATCCAATTCTTTTTTTAAATATATATGAAAAAAAAAAGGTTTCTTTACAATCTTATTGTTGAGATTAGTAACAAAATACTTTCAACGGTTTCTCTAAAATGCGGCTTCCTTGGGACTTCCGATCAAGAAAAATCATGTGTCTGGGGAAGTTGTGGCTCTCTTTTTCCAGACTGACATCCAGTTCTTCTTTTTTTAAATATATATGAAAAAAAAAAGGTTTCTTTACAATCTTATTGTTGAGATTAGTAACAAAAATCTCCAAAGGCTGCTGCGTACCTGTTGCACTGCAGTAGGTTTGCAGAGGGGAGCCAGGTTTCCCTCCAGCCTGGAGAACAACAGAAGCTTGTGTTGTACAAATGGCAAGCGGCTACAAATCACCTCCCGTTCACACTTTCCCCGTGAATGGGGCTGTGTGCGCATATGGAGAGCAGAACACAATCCCTCTTCTCTGCTGCTCCATGCTACCAAGAAATCTGCTCCTTTTACAACAATGAAGAGGTGGAATACATTAGGTGCTGCACAGCTCATGTGCTAATTAAAACAACTCTTCCTGTTACTGTTTTTTCACGGGAAGTTAGATGGCATTAGAGAGCATGCTGAATGAATTCCTTTGAATCTCAGGCCCTATTATATATGGGAAAAAGCATTTAAATGAAATTTGAGGATATAGCTTTCCTGTCAGACTTGAAGAAGCCCAATTGTGGAAAAAAGAAAATCACCATTAACCAGTGTGGGACTAAAGACTTTAAAACACATACCCAAGATCTTGGTGATATCCCAAGAAGAACACAACCCGGCTCTGCAGTAAGCAGTGCCTGACCTCACTGATATTGCTTCTGTTCTGCTTCCATTCCCTTGTGCTGAATTTGGGGGGAGTCAGACGTCAGCAGCTGCATCAAGTGCCTAACTGGATGAGACTGCCGGCCCTTATTTTTGACATACTTTTGAACTTTTTCATCAGAGAGAGCACATCTCTCTGCTATGCATCTGCATAAGCATTAGTAACAGAACTAATACATTTTCACAACAAGCTTGAAAAGAGGAGAATGGAGATGCTCTTCTCTACAGTCTGGGGGGACCCAAGAACCCAACTGGACCAGTTTTTCTGCTGATTTCTGAAATAGAAAGGAAAGTACTTTAAGAAAAGTTCACAGACATTGTGAACCCACAAGATCTGTAATTATATAGTGGCATGTGATTCATTATTCCCTCCCTGAATGCAACAAATGAGAATTTCAGACCTGTGTATCAGAAAACGTTTCACTGTGCTTTGTCTCTTTTGGTGTGTGGGCCAGGCATTATAAACAAACTTGTTCTTTCTCTAAAGCAGTGTTATAATTATTAATACTTTGTGAAGGTCTTTGATACTTCCAAGACATCATGGAAAGGCTATGATTCGTACAAAGTTAAAAATTTAGGAAAGCTGAAAGTTTACCACTCCACTCTGTTTTATTGGTATTAACTTAGGCTTGAGAGCCTTAGGCTCTCTCAGTAGCCCATTTACAGAAATAAACCAATATAAAGCCTGCAACCCCTGGAATGGAGCTGGCAGAGTAGCCAAGCTGTTTTAGAAGCACACACTGAAGCATGGACTAAACCAGAAAATTGGTACTTCGAAGAAAAGAAAATCCAGCATCAGGATTGCATTATGAAAGCTATTTTCTAGATATGCAGAGTTAATTTGCTTGTCAGTGAAAGACAGAGAAAGAACAGAGATATAGGGTGCCTTCAG